ATTTGCTTGGGCGCGCCGGCAGGAACGTAATTATGTAACAGTGAGCGGTCACATGTAAGGTGGTAAGGCGAACCAGAGTCTAGGACTACTGCTGAACTGTTGCCACTGCCACCGACGACCAGCACCGTGGCACGGTTCTGGCATGAGCTTACACCGCCACCGCCGCCGCCACTGCTTCCGCCAGCAGTGTTGCTGCCGCTGCGGCGGCCGTTGCCGCGTCTAAAACGGCCGCGTTCGCGCGTCCTGTCGCCCCCGCTGTTATTGCCGCCGCTGGTACCTCCGCCGCCGCCATCACGTTGGCGGTTGCCGCTGCCACTGCTGCTGGCGCCAGTACTGCGTGGCTGCTCAAACGCATTGCTGCGGTAGAGGCCTACGGACACGTCCGCCAGCTTAACGGGGCACTCACGGACATAGTGCCCAGGCTGTCCACAGTAGCGACAGGTGTCGTTGGCCCCCGCGGCGCCCGAGGCGCCGGCAGCACCGCGGACTCCACGGGCGGTGCGACCAGGGCCAACAGCTCCAACCAGGCCGGACTTGACTGCTTGGGCCTTCAGGTTGTTCTCCTTCTCCCGCAGCATGAACACGAGCTGCGGGGTAGTCAAGTTGGGCAAATACATCGCGAACTCGACAGTAATAGCGTACTGTGGAGGCAGACCGTGGAGAATTGCATGACGCATAGCAGCCTCGTCCCACTGGCCGCCCGCCGAGATAATGTCGCTGTGGAGCTGCTCCGCCCGTTGAATGAAGTCAGCGGTCGTCTCGTCGTCGCCCATGCGCAGTTGCTTCTGCGGCTCCAGCAGGCTTAGCCGGGCCTGAGAGGCAGAACGGAACTGCAGCTGTAAGAGCTGCATGGCGGCGAGGGTCGTCTGACAGTTCCTGAGCAACTGCTTTACTGGCAGTTCGCAGGATAGACGCAGGTAGCCAAGCGCCTGGGCATCTTCCTCCAGAGCGTCTTGCGCATTGCGTCCCGGTGGCGACGGGTTGGTCATATAGATCCGCAGCTTGGATGTAGCAAGGAAATCACTGAAGTCTCCTAGCCACTGTGAGTAGTTAGACCCGTCCGCTAAGAGGACGGTCTTACACCCTTTTCCCATGTCGGTTGCCTAGCGAGCCTCCCTGCTCAAGCTAAAAGCAACTACAGATATTAACCGCCGGGAACCGTTACCCGGGGCTCATAACCTGTTGGTGAGACGCTATCTCACAGGGACCTAGCAGACACGACTAAGGAGACATTAGCCGTTACACGTATTCGGGAGATCCGCGACCTACCACCGAAAGCCCCTTTGCCTAGGCGTAAACATGTGAATCTGAGGTACTGTTACCGATAAACAACAGAGACTTATAAAGGCTTGGAAAGCCTATCCCAAAAGGACGAGAGCTATCAGTACGCTAGAACCTAATAGCCGTTTTGACGGGCCTCCCGAGACAGGTCCAAAGCTGTTACTCAGTCTAACATGCGACCTCAGACCGGCCACAGCTGTCACTCACGACAGCCTGACAAGTTACCCAAGCAGGCCACAGGGCGACACGGCAACCCTTCGCATCAACATGGTCGACTGGGTGTTGCATAGCATGTGTGGAGCTTTAGTATGCACCCAGCGATTCGATCTCAATTGGAGGTATCGAGCAAGAACCAGCGGTCCATCCAGTTGGGTGCAGCAGATAGTAGTAGTGCCGCCAGAGAAGGAACCAACGTACGCCTGTAGTGCCTGCGCCTGCACCTCGTGACAGTGGCAGTGCGCAACGTGGTGGAGAACGAGCAAGAGTCCAGGAGGGTCATGTGCACGGGCTGGGGCTGGGGCTGGGGCTGGGAAGGCTGGGAAGGCAATACTTGGCAGTGAACCGGCAAGGCGAGTGGGTGCTGCCGTTGAAGAGGAGAGGCTGAGAAGGCGTGTGGGCGCCTGGCAGTGGTTTACGGCAGGCAAGCACTACCACGCATGACCGCGAGCAGCTCGCTCCAGGACGCGGACCTGCAGCTGGCTGCTGCTTTTGCCCGAGCGAGCAATTACTGTGCGTGCTCCAGCATGGGCAAGTTGAGCGAGCGGGTCTGCGGCGTGATGGTGTTAATAATGATGGTGATGGTTCCCCCGCTGGGCTGCTGAGCCTTGCAGGGAGTGCTAGTTGCGCCAGTACGTGTGGGCTGCGAGCTTAATGCAGCGACAAGGCTGGGGGGGATACTAGGCCGTATGAGGGATCAGCGGGCGGCGGCGGTGCTGCATGCAGGCAGGCACGCGTATACAAGCACCAAGCCTCTTTTTCAGCACCAATCGACAGCGACTCGTTTGTGCAGTAGTGAGCTGCGTACCACTAGTACATTGTGACGCGTATGTGAGGGGTGCAAAGATGCGAACTTGCATAGCGCCAAGAACATAGTAATAATGACATGGGGTTGGGCCGTCGGTAAACCCTGGTAGCAGGTGGTGTGGTCTGTATCGTCAACTTGAGCGGAGTTGCATGCCCCGCTGCTGCTGAGAGGCGGGCCGAGTGCCCGATGAGATAGCCCCTGTACGCGGCAAGCTTGCTTGTGACTTGCCGTGCGCGGTGGTGGGGCTGGGCGGTACCAGCAGCGGTGCATATGATGCGCGGTTTAGTTCTGGCACAGTTGAATGATCCCTGACGGATCATTGTAAATAATCAAGGGGCTGGTGTGCACCTGGGCTTGGGCCGTCGGTAAACCCTGGTAGGGGCGGAAAGCAGGTCATCAACAGCCGACTTGTGGGCAGCTCACGATCCAACCTCACGTTTGGCACCCGCGGCCTTGAGCTCGTGGTGCATGGCCGCGTCGTAGCACAGCGAGGTTGCCGCGAGCGGCGCCACGTGAGGCGCCTGCTGCACCATATTCTTGATTGGTTTGGTTGCGCCTGTTGACGAGGGGCTCTCACACATTTACACATAACTTGTGCATTCGTCCCAAAATGTCGCATAACAGCTGCACCGGGAGACTAACCATGCATGCACCCACGCAAGCACCCACGCACGCACCACGCACTCCTCCGGCTTGAGCCCCAGCTTCTTCGCCGCCAGGAAGAAGACGTCGGGTGCGGGCTTGAAGTGTGCTAAGTCGTCCGACGTCACCACCGCTTGGAAAGGGTCGGTCAGTCCCTGCTCCGCCAGCGACTGGTGAGTGGTGATGACACAGACAGCAGCGAGTTGCGGGGGGGGGGCAGAGGGGGGCTGCAGTGAGCGAGGGAATGGCCAGATGGACGATGGACCATGAAATCCCGTGTAATACTGCGGCGCACATGCGAAGGCGCTGTTGTGAGGTGTGTCGGCACGCGTGTCAACCACCCGGGTTTGCTGGGCATGTGCCATGGCCCATGGAGCCCACCCACCGGGCGCAAAGTAGCTGCTCGCATAACAGCAACGCAGCAGCATGTGTGGCTGTTATTAAGCCTTTGTGTAAATGCGGCGCAGACAGGCACCTGAGTTGAGGATGTCGCCAGGCATGCGTGCACAAACTTATCTCAACAGGACCTAGCCTCGCACTGTAAGGATTAGGAACTAGGATTAGGCTGAGTGACAGTGGGTTGAAGCTGCTCTCGCAATCTCGCCCATTTATCCTCACGACCGCCCGGTACGACACACACCCCAAACACCATGCACAGTGCTGTGCATGACGGCCACTCCCCCCGCCCCCCTAGCGTGCGACGCTATGTGTGCATCGCGGCGCCACACTGCGAGCGTCAAATATCTCACGAATTGAGATTGGGCATGCTGCAGTGGCCGTCAGGCACACGAACGCGCAAGCTGCACACCTTGGGTCCCAACAGCTCTTTCGCACCGCCTGCGCCATCCTCAAGAATGTGATGCTGCTGGCCGCTGGGCTGGGCGCCGGCGGGCTGAGCCCAGGGACCCGCCGTTGTGCACTCACTGAATGCGGCCTTCGCGGCGGCGCGTTGCCATTCGGCAGCGGCGCTGCTGGGCCCCGACGGCTGCTGCTGCAAATGTGGCACCAAGGCCGCCGGGTACAGGCATGGCATCAGTGAAAAGGTCCAAGTTGTTTTAGCGATCGCTTCATTGACAGTATCGTGACTTTTTATTTTTCACGTCACTATGAGCTGAAGAGGTTTTGACTGTGTTTCTGCTGGGTTTCTGCTGAGTTTCGACTGAGTTCCCATTGAGTTCCTGTGCCTCGCTCCTTTCGCCCCACAGCGCGGCGCCGCCCCCGCCGTGCCACTTTCGGTGCAGCCCCGTTTCGGTGCACGTGTGCAGCCACACTCGTAGCTTCTCTACCCCCTCGGCGCGGCGGGGGACGGCTGGCGCCGCCCACGCCGCGCCCGTCAGCAGCAGCCGCGTGTGCCCCGTGTGCGGCCCAGATGCAGGTGATGGAAAGCTTGCAGCCCCATGCATCCCATCTGAGTTTACACGCAGCTCACACGAGGCTTCCCAAACGGCTCCGCGCGCAGCTACCAGCTCTCACTCGTACAACTGCCGACTCACACAAACGACTCCTGTGCTCTGCCGTACACCTCTGCGCTCCTGTCGCTTCACGCTTTTTGTGAGGGACCCCTGTCCGTGAAGGCGCGAACTTAGGACCGCTAGAAAGCCCTTAGAAAGCTCACCCCCCCCAACTACCAACTCCCTGTATGATGTACGGTACGTAGGTGTGCGGAGTTTGCCGCCGATGTCAGCGGATCTCTGCCACCGGTCGGCGATGGCGTCATGCAAAGCGTCCCTACCTGCCAGCGCATAGTCATACGCACGCAGAGTGAAGGACGCCGGCAGGGGTTCATGCAGGCACAGCAGGGCCTCGGCGAAACGAGCAGCTTCGGCGCCACCGTTGGCACCACCACCGCCATCGCCAACGGCTTAGGCCGCACTCGCTCCGGCGCCGCTGGATCCACGCACCGATCCGGGGGTATTCTCGGCGGCATTTCGGGTATCTCCTCATCTGCGACATCATCGGACGATGACGCCCAGGGTAAGAAGCCCGAACCGGGTCGTCGCTCCACGGGCGCTGCTACTGCTTTTACTGCTACTACGCCTGCGGTGCCGGCTGCCGCCAGGGGTGTAGGATCCTGCTCACCTCCTGGGCCTCAGAAGTCTCCTTCCGCAACCGGCATGAGGTCGCTGATGGCAATCCCGGAGCCTGCTATACGTTCTCCTTTCTCCGATGGGCAGCTGCTGGCATCCCATGGTGCAATCCGCATTCAGCCCGTGACGCCTCCCCGGGGAGAGCTAGCGGCCGCCAGCGGCTTGCGGACGGCGTGCTCACTGGGGCATGACGCCGCGACGGCTGCCGGGCCAGCGGCGGCGGGTGCAGCAGCAACCACCCTAGGTATTGGCTCCGGGGGCGGCCTTGTTCGCACCGGCAGCGGTACCTTAGCGTCTAAGCCGCCTAGTGGCGATGGCGGCAGCAAACCCTTCGGCCGGACCTTCAGTCGATCGAGCTCATACAAGCCGTTTGGGGATGCCACCACCACTGCCGCCACCGTCGCTGCCGGTACGACACCAAAGCCGGTCCTCGTGCGCACGCACTCCTGCAGCGGCCGAAGCAGCCCTCCAAGCTCCGTGAACTCCTCCTCGTCGTCGACGGCGGCAACAGGAGCGGCGGCGCCGCCGCCGGTGGCCTTCTCCGCGTGGAGTGACAAGAAGAAGACGTACAGCGCACAGGCGGCGGCGGCAGCGACGGCGACGGCGGAGGCCGACCTGGCACGTGACAGCCACTCAGATGACGCTCAGCCGGTTGAGGTAACCATGTATCCGCACATTCGGGAGAATCTTAAGCGGCTTAAGGCAGGAGACACGTGCAACGAGGCGGTGACGCTGGACGGCACCGATGCAACCAGGACGCAAGACCCGCCGACACGCCAGCGCAGCCGTTGCCAGAGCCAAGGTGAATCAGCGTCGCATTGCCAGCAGCATCTGCATTATAATGATGAGCGCCAACAGCAACGTCAAGCCTTCCAGGGCAGCAGCGGCGTCAGTAATGGCAGCAGCAGCAGCAGCGTAAGCCGTCGCAGCATCGGCAGGAAGAGCGCCAGCAGCCGCAGCGGCAGCGGCAGTGGCGGCGGACAGTCGGCAATCGCACCTGATCTAGGTTTCCGGCGCCAGGGCTTGATGCCGCCGGCAGTGGAGCTGTCTGAGGATGAGAGTCGCCTAGAGGACGTGGGTCTGGCAGCTGCTCTGTCTCCTGGGGCCTCTATGCGAAGGACGGCTCGGCTGGGCTGATCTCAAAGCTGAAACCTCAGCGCGCCTACCTACTGGCGGGCTTCCCAACAACAAACGCATCAAAGCAGATCATAAGCGGCGAGGAGCGGATGCTAGATATCCTGAGGCTGGGCCTGGACTAGGAGTGTTTTCGTTTGTTGACTTGCACGTGTCTGCATGTCGGTGTGTTCGCCTGCCTGTTGTCCGCCTGTGCATATTCGATGTTTACGGCCGCTCTGCAGCGGGGCGACTGCGAACGTCGAAACTTGTTCACATTTAGGCTTATTTTGATCGGTGATGCACACGTCATGAAGACCCTGAACATCCTGCGCGGTAGGATGTTCCAGTGATTAGCTAAACGGAGACGGATGTGGAGGCTACAGAGTAGCTCATGCTTCGGGGGGAGCAAGACAAATGTGGCACGTCAGTACAAACCACTTCTACTGCTGAAGGGTCGCGGAGATTACCTCACACGCCTTGCATTGGATTATATCATTGCATCTGCCGGGATGGGACAAGGCCTGGTTTGTGGTATTGAAAACGGGAAGGTCCGAACCCGGCGAACGAAGGTGAAAGTAGACGCCCCTAGTGAGTTCGGCTAAGTTCAGGCAGGACAGGACAAGCCAGGCCAGTGCAGGGCAGGGTGGTCTTGACCCTCGCTCGACTTGCTTGACGCTGCAGCAGGATGGTGCTTTTGCCACACACGGCTATTGAATTTGCGCGCTTAGGTGGACATACTATTGTGCTGGCAGTGCTATTACATACGACGGCAGTGCGAGGGAGGTACATATATATATATATATATATATATATATATTAGACGGCAGGCCGCTGTATCTTCACCGCGCGGCCATATAGGGGAAATCCTGATAGAGGAATGAGGGGGGTTCTCCGCTGCCGTCTGTTCCGCTTTGTCGTCGCCGTAGGCGTTCGGGTTCTTCAGGCCGCGTATCGGCCTGCGTGCTGGATAACTCAGCTGGTCGGACCCCTGTCCCCTACCTCCGTTGGACTTGCTGAAATTGAACGGCGGTTGCACGTGCGAGAGGGCTCGGATAGGGCTGGGGGCGGTTGTGTAGCCGTCGGTGCCGGCACATGTAGGACAGCGACATCGGGGGGGGGAGAGAAATGGGCTTGAGCACCAAGCAGGAGTGGCTGGAGGGAATGAAGAAGGGCATGAGACAGGGGGCCTCGAGGGAGGAAGGACCAGCCGACCGATCTGTCAACCGATTGCTATGTTGCTACCCACGTGCGCGTAGAGGTTCGGCGGTTGCTTTGTTTGGGATGATGGGGCAGTGTACGGACAAAGTGTACAGCAGCATAGCAGACTCCTCGACGCATACAAGATGTAGGCAAGAACCATTATTTAGGCTGAATACTTTGTCAAAGCCTGCGCTAACTGCAGGATTTGAGTTGATAGGTTGTTTAATACTGCAGTGGTGGGTGCCTGGACGGTAGATTTCCACTTGATTGGACTTCCCCGCCGTGTTTATGACCTTAACTAACCAAGAATAATTAATTTTCGCCTCGTAAATTTTCAAGAGGTAGGGTTTCCCTTGGGTTGGCAAGCAAGGGCTTGTGTTCGACTGCACCTACCGTCATCTACCGCCGCATGCTGTCGGCATTCATCAAGGACTTCAGGCAGCGGTGGCAGGGGTAGGCGGCGGCGAAGGGCTGATGGACGCATCTGTATGTGCTGATGCGATGGCGCATTGTTGGCTGGAGGTCGATCCATGCAACGATGCGCCCTCGGGTGCACCTGGGGCTCCGTGGGGGGCCGCAGCAGCAGCAGCAGCAGCAGCAGTAGCAGCAGCAGTGGGTTGTCCAGTGAACGATATGCGCATGGATCAGTAGTGCAAAATGATGCAGGTACGTAGGCTGCTGCTGCTACTCGTGCTGGTGCTGCTGCTCGTACTGCTGCTTGTGCTGCTGCTCGTGCTTGTGCTGCTGCTTGTGCTGCTGCTCGTGCTGGTGCCGCTGCTGCTGCTTGTACTGCTGCTGGTGCTGCTGCTGGTGCTCGTGCTGGTGCTGCTGCTCGTGTTGCTGGTGCGTACGTGCGAAAGCGGTGTGAGGTGCTGTTTCGAAGGATTCACGTCGGGACGGGAAGAGAGATGGATGGTACGTAACGAATTTCGCGCAGAGCTTCCACAGGCTTGTCATCGGCGATGGAGGATGGTCAATTTATTCCTTACCCTGTTGTATGCGTGTGCTGCTGATGCTGAAGCTGCGTGCCAGGCACTGCGCACTGCAAAAGCAGGGAGGAGGGTGGAGCTGCTCTGTGCTGCTAGGTTCCTGCTTAATCTAAAAATCCAATTAACAGATTTACAGTGTGATGTGCGCGCTGTCTGAATTCTGGTGGTGGCCTTTCTACAATACGAAGAAGGAGAAGATGTCACGCCATATGACGTGCTAACAGACACAAGAAATGCGGATGGATAACTTTGGACCACTGCGTGCATGCATGCTAAGTTCACGTCTTTGTTTGGTGTCTGCCATCAAGCAACTCACATCGGTACGGCCATGGAAAACAACGGTAACGATGCCCTGGTCAACCAACGAGCCAAGTGCAACAAAGCAAACACGAGATGTACTCCAGGCTCTCCCTAGGAAACCCCCACAAGGAGCGATGGGTGTTCTCTGTTTAGATTTTGGGGAAACGGTTGTCTGTGAGGACCCGACGAAGTACTGCTGCATATGGGAGGGCATCAAGCGATAAAAGGGATATTATGCTTTCAAATAAAGGGGCTACATCGCCTTGTGGTCCGTTACCTTGCTCACTGCTTGCTCTAGCAGTACTTATTTTCTTCTTGTTATGGACCCGGGCGCCCATCAGGCCTGAATATGTTGCAGTAATTGATTGCGGGAGCTCTGGGACGCGTATGTAAGTCATACGCGTTTGGCATTTGGGTGGTCTACACTTCTGAATTTGCAATTCATCAACGGCGCGCAGATACGTGTTCAACTGGAAGTATACCGACGCACGGCGTGGCGTGCCGAACCTGGAGCTAATACCGCCATCAGCTGCTCAGGACCTCGTTCCAAAGAAGTCTGGGACAAGTACGTCCAGTGCAGGCGTCCCCGCCCCGGGGTCCGTTTTTCCGCCAAGCAAAGGGTGACGGCCTTGTTAGGCACCCTACCAGTCTGAAGCTGGGATTCCCCCAGCCAAACGGGCTTCTCCCACAACAATTGGGAGATATGCCTGTGCTGTTGCGTGCGGCATGATGACGCACACACGACTTCTCGCTGCATGGAAAATGGCTTGGCCCCCACATGACGGCATGCACGCCACCTACTACACCACCTACGCCACCTACTACATTCCCATGTCAAGCCATCGCGCCCTTCCCGCTTTCCATGCCTCCTCCTGCCCTGCCCTTCTGCTTCACTACACTACTCTAAGACAACGACGTCTGCTTACCTTTGTGGGCTTTTGCCCACGCGCATCCTTAAGGACCTTTTTGCGCTGCCGTATAACAACCGTACCGTACACGTGCAGGTTCGTACAATCGTGTGGAGACGCTTCCCGGACTTGATGCCTTCGCGGATCGACCCGACTCCGACTTGGAGGCTCTTGCCCTGGGCCCCCTGTTGGCATGGGCGCGTGCCATCGTACCCCCCCGACAGCTGCCCTCAGTACCTATCTTCCTGCTCGCCACGGCGGGTCAGTGCCCGTCCTGTAACATGCCCCTGGGTACCCTGTTACTCCTATGCCCCTGGGGGCCCTTAGGAGGATTCCGTTTACATATTTACATGTGTTGCATGCCTGCTGTTTGCATGCCTGCTGTTTGCATGCCTGCTGTTTGCATGCCTGCTGTAGAACGGAAACAACGGAACTGTATTAACGAAAGAGTAAAACGGCTGCTGGTAGGGGGAGTATTTGTTGTATGCATGTCTGTCTGTCTGTCTGTGCGGGAGTGAAATGGCGCTAGTGCTAACGTACTACATGTACGGGTGCCTGCTGTTGCCCTGCACCTTCCCCTCTACCCCTACCCCTCCAAGCCCCGGTCGCAAATTCAAATTCATACTGCCGTGTGGTGTGCCCTGGACGCGCTCAGGCGTACGCCGCATGCCGCCCGCCCGGCAGCAGCTCCTCCTGGATCGAGCGAGAGGGGCGCTGCTGAGATCCGGATTTAGGTACGGCAGGGGAGGGAGGGAGGGAAGACGCGAGGGGGAACGGGGACGTCGTGGCGCAAGGCCCTTCCCCATCCGCTTCCGCCGACTTTACGAACGCTTATGGGCTTGTGATGACCTCCATCCATATGGCCTTTCCGTAAGGGAAAGGACTCCGCAACGCGAAGGGAATTCTACCGGAGCTTAACACGCTTCCTAGGATTGACCATCCTAAGAGTCTGAACATTTTCAACATCTGGGCCCGCACACGTCACAGGTTCGAGCCCGAGTGGGCCCGGATCATCAGCGGCACAGACGAAGGAGTGTACGGCTGGATCGCGACGAACTACCTTCGGGGCCATCTAGACGGTCCCTCCAGCCTGGCAGTAGCACATGCAGTGGCAGCAGCAGCCAGGGCGGGTGACACCAGTGCAGCGGCGGCTGTAGCGGCGGCGATGGGCCGCCGCGGCAGCGGCGGCGGCGGGAGTGAGGTGGTTTCGGAGCGGAAAGATGTGGACGCGGCGGCAGCGACGAGGTCTTCGGCGTCCTCCTCGGTGACCACTGAGGGCTCCCTGGATCTCGGTGGCTCCTCCCTGGAGGTGACTAGTTTATGTTTATTTTGTACAAATGTTTTGTGCAAGTGCTGTACAGAAGCGCCGGTGGGATGACATCCGTAAAAATCATGGTCGGGCCCATGGACGGTCTACAGCCATAATTGTAGGGGGCCCCGAGTGCGGACGCTGTATAGAATATTTCTAATAAGCTCAGAGTGTTTATATCTTGGCGGTACCAGTAGCGGAATGTGAAGTGAAGTAACGGCGGCGGAAGAACCGTGCGATGTTGCGCAACGTGCCTTGTGGCGTGTGGGGGGGCTGTAGCCTGCCCCTGCGGTACCGGACTCGTGCTGCTGCTGCTGCCCCGGCTTGCTGCCGTCCCCCTGATGCTGCTGCTTATAATGCACAAGAGCCCCTTTGGGAGTCATTGCCCTCGTAGGGTCCTTGTAGCCGCTGTACTACTGCTTTCGCTGCTACCTGTTGCCACTGTCGCTGTCGCTGTTGCTGCCCTCGCCGCCCTTATTGTTGTCGTCGTCGTTGTTGCCCTCGCCGCCCGGTAGATGGTTTACTGCTCAGAGGCAATATCACGCGAGGCGTGGTGGCGGCAGCAGCAGCACCACCACCACCACAGCCGCCATCACCGCTACCACCACCAACAGCAGCGGCAACAACAATACGGAGCCCATTTGGCGGCTGGAGATGCTGATGCTGGAGAGGCGGCCCGGGGGATTGACGCCCATCTTCAGTCGGGTAACGGTAACCAACTGCGCAGTACACCTAGCCACCGGGGCACCTCCCTGGACACCAAACCACGTGACGATCACCAACAGCAACAGCAGCAGCAGCAGCAGGCAGCCACGTCGCAGCGGCGGCATTTACAGCAGCAGCAGCAGCAGCAGCAGCAGGCAGCCACGTCGCAGCGGCGGCATTTACAGCAGCAGCAGGCAGCCACGTCGCAGCGGCGGCATTTACTGCAGCAGCAGCAGCCCCAGGAGCAACAGGAAGAACCTATTGCGCGGTTAGCAGAACAACAGCAGCAACAACAACAGCAACAGCAGCAGCAGCAACAGCAGCAGCAATACTACAATCAGGAAGAGCATAGCCGGCTTTGGCATAGAACGTTGTTGGGGCGACATCTGGCTTTGGGGCGCGGGCAAGACAGCCACATGCGCAGGGTAGGAGGGGAGGAAGGGGTGGCCCTGGCGTCCGGGCAGCAGGCGGCAGGCCAGTCAGTCCAGACGGCTATGCTGGCGACGACGGCGGCGGATAAGGTGGAGCATCAGCAGCAGCAGCAGCATGAGGAGGAGGATGAGGAGGAAGGGCTACCCAGTCTGGGTCTGTTGTTAGGTCCCCGGTTCTACACCTTGCGGACGCATACTTTTCAGAAATACGGACTCAATGACGCATTCGACCGCTCCGTCAGCTTGCTGCTACAGGTGGGGGCCGAGGTCGGGTCGGCGGTCCGTCCGGATGTGCGGGAGGGGAGTGCTGGATGAGGGGGATGATGGTACACCACTGCCCTCAAAACGTATTAAATTGCATTGCGTTACGGCTGCAGCCCTGGCTGCTTGGCGCCCGCAGCTCAAAACTCCATCGAAGCACTGGACTCGACACATTACGCACCTCCCCAAAGCTAGGCGTCTTTGTCCCCCCCCCGCCATCTGTCAATCTCGCCATCGCCATCCTGCCGTACGGAAAGTACGGCAGCTCCGTAGTAACTCGCGCTGGTTCAGATTGTTCGACAGTTAGCATCGCCGATCTCATTCTTCACACTTTTCACAACCGTGTTTCTGCTTGTGTGCGTGTGTGTGTGGCGTGCATGCGCATGTGTGTTTTATGGCTGTCCCGTGTGCCGTACACAGGACACGACGGTACCTCCCCCCCTTCAGCCCCGGCCCCCGCCAACCCCGCCCGCCCCGAGTCCGAGGGCCCAGCAGACGGGGGCGCAACGAGGTGGCGGTGCCGCCGGCGGCAGCGACAGCCATGACAGCCTGCGAACAGGCGGCGGCAGCGACAGCCAGGACCAAGCTCTCCACGGAAAGGCCTTTCAGGCCCTTCGCCCGCAGCGCCCGGCCTTGCTGCGCCGGAAAGACCAACAGCCGCCGTCGCCGCCGTCACCGTCGCCGCCGCAGCCCTTGACGACTCAGAAGACAGAAGTAGCAGGAGCAGTAGCAGGAGCAGTAGCAGGAGGAGGCTTTTCCAGCAGCGTTGAGGGTGCGACGTCAAGGCCCTCAGGCAACGGAACCCTTGCCGTGTCCTCCGCGGCAGGCGGCGGCAGTGGCATCGGCGGCGATGGCGGTGGCGGCGGCGGCAGTAGTAGCGGCGGCGGCGGTGCTGGAAGCGGACTGCTCCCTGCGGGGTCAGGGATAGACGCAACGGGTGACGCGGCCGCCGCCCCGGAAGGCAATACGACACAGCGCGCCATGCCACCGGAACGGCACATGTCGCCACCACCAAAGCAGCTGGGTCGCGGCGTATCCGGGCAGGCGACGGCAGGGCTCAATTCGGGGGCTAGTGCCGTAATCCAGCTTCTAGCCTCCCCTCCGTTTGCGGCCAATGCCTCATCGCCGTCGGCGGCTGCGAACGACACAGGCGCTCGCGGCGGCGGCGGCGCCGACGGCACGGGCGGTACCGCCACCGCCAAGCTTCGCTCCCAAGCTGTCATACTGGAGCAGCAGAAGCGCGACTCGGAGCGGATCATCCAGCTGGTGAAGGAGCAGCTCACAGAAGCACAGGAGCGCAGCGGCAGCGGCGGCGGCGATGGCGATCGTGCAGCGGCGGCAGCGGCGGTGTCCTCGTCGTCTCAATCCAACAGTACTACTTCCGCGCAGGTACAACTTCGTCAGGCCCCTGCTGCTGCTACTGCAGCTGGCAGTGGCGGTAGTGTTGCTGATGATGATGCAGGGAGAGCTAATGATAAGGCCCAAGGCACAGGTGTGGACGCAGGTTCCGGAGCCGCGGCCAGCGGTGGTAGCGGTAGCGGCGGCGGCGGTGGCTTAGAGGGAGGAGCTGGCGGCGACGCGGGCGCCATTGGCCGAGCTCTAATGGCGCGCAGCGCCGCCACCGCCGTCGCCGCCGCCATTGCTGCCGGCTCCAGTATTGAGTCCCGTGGTCAACGGAGGCTTATAGAGCGGGGTCAGTTGGCGGACGGGGGGGATGTAACGGGGGCCTTACGCGGGGGTAGGGCTGACGGACGCCGCGAAGGGCTGGGGGTTGACGACGCGTGGCAGGCAGCAGCATCTGCAGCAGCAGCAGAGCCTGACGGGACCGCAGATTACGACAGTACGGACGCTGCGGAGAATCCGGTCGACAGCGGTGCGGAAGAGTCCTTGACGGCTGCTCTAGTGTGGGTGACGCAGCGCGGTGGCGATGAGGATGGCTCGGACCTGGCGGCGGGGCGCGGCGCGTCCTGGAGAGGACAGCAGCAGCAGGAGCAGCAGCAGCAACGGCTAGCGCAACGGGACCTTTTGGCGGCGGCGGAAGTGGCGTCAGCGGCGGCGGCGGCGGCGGATGCGGAGGCAGCTTCGGGGTCGCAAACGGCCGCCGACTCAGCGCGGCGCGCGGCGGCGGCGGCGGTGGCGGAATCCTCAGAGAAGGGGCTGGCGGAGGCGGCAGGCTTGGCGGCAGCAGCGGTCGCGAAGGCGGCGGAGGCTGGCGGAGGCGGCAGCGGCGGCGGCGGCGGCGGTAGCAGCAGCAACGAAGTTCTTGTTGTAGGGCGCGATGACGCCTTCGTGAGCGGGCAGGTTCGACGGGAGGTACGGGTCGTACGGCACCCGTGTATGCACCAAGGTGAGGTCTGGGGACGGGAGTGGGAGGGGGGAAGGAAGGGGGTAGTGGCAAGAAGCGAGGGATCCATTGCCGAGGTTCAACGCGGGGGCCGCCGGGTTGGCGCTGGGTTTGAGGTTTTCAACGTCCTGGGGTCGAACCCGGCTACCTACCCAGTTATTATCACCATTTTCCATTCCAAAACCACCACAACCAACCACCATAACCACCACTACAACTATCACCGCAACCACCACCATGACAATGTTCATGTACCGTCTGGTCTTCCAAACCCCTCCCCCCGGCGCTTGACAAATTGTGGCCCTGGCATGGCTATGTCATGGCTATGTCATGGCTATGTCATGGCTTTTGGCGCACTCGCATGCGCCCTTGACTTGACTTGACTTGACTTGTCGCTTGTCGCCACTACCACTACCACCACTACTACCACTACTACTACCACTACCACTACCGCTACCGCTACCGCTATGCAGTAATGTATCCCATTACCACTAGAGCAGCACTGTAGCAGCACACCGCCTCGAACTGTCCCCTAACCCACCGCCAACCCATCCGCCTGCCCATTAGGCTTCAGCAAGTCGTACACCCGCATCCACCAGTACGGCGTACTGCCGGCTGTGTCCGATGTACAGATCCAGGGGAGTCCCGACTGGGGGGCGTGTCTGGCCCTGGTGGCCCGCACCGTGAACGCCTCCGCGGACTGCGGCGGCCGCCACTGCGTACTGGGCTCACAGCAACCGGCACTGAAGGTGGATGGAGGGGCTGCTGAAGTGAAATGGAAAAGGGCTTAATGAAATGGGAAAAAAACTTTAAATGGAATATTGAATTGGATAATTTAAAATGGAAAAATTAAAATGAGCGGAATAAATAAAAAAAGGAGCGGAAGAAGGAAAAAGGAAAGAAAAGAAGGATGCAGGAATGTGCAGGGGAGGAGGGAGAGGGGGAGAAGTTGCATGTCAGGGGGAAGAGCGGGGATAAGCGGGTCGTTGAGAGTATCATTCAATGCGTGAGACACCCCGACAGTCTTGGTTGTTTCCTTGTATCATCATCAATATATATGTGTATATGTGAATATATACATGTATGTATGTATGTATGTATGTATGTATGTATGTATGTATGTATACACATATAAACATATAGACATACTCACGTATGTATACAACTCCCACTCACTCAAAGTACCGTTTCCCTCTCCCCCTGTCCGCCCTTTCTCCTTCCTCTCTTTCCCTGGAATTGGATCCGGATCTGAATCTGATACCCCATAGGGCCCTTTCGTCGCGCTTGCTGGCTTCTACGTCGTGTGGACGTTCTTCGGTCTTCAAGGGCGCGACAGCCCCAGCGCCGTGCTGCAGGCCGCCCGAGCTCATTGCGGTCGGCCGTGGCGGGACGTGGAGGCGCGGCTGGGGCACCTCATCAACGTGGAGAAGTACTGCCTGTGGGGCCCCTACGTGGCGCACCTGCTCACGGCCGGGCTGGGTCTGGAGCCGGATGAAGTGACCATTGGTAAGCGGTGGTTGGGGATCGGGGGTGGTGGTTGGTGGCTGGAGCTTTGAAATGCTCAGGCTTTCTTGGGCACCTGCTCTCTTTCATTGTTGTTGCTACTGCTGCAGCTGTTGCTACTGCAGCTGCTACTATCTAGCTGCCCCCGCTTCCTCCCGCTGTGTCCCCATAAGAGTCCCACGTGCCGTGCATAATCCCACGTGCCGTACATAGTCCCGCGTGCTCAGCTCCCTCGGTATGTGTGTGTCGCTCCCCTGGCCCTCCGCCCCCCCCCCCGCGCAGGTTCGGGTGATGTGGGCTGGCCTATCGGTGCCGCTCTCGCTGAGGGCCTTCAACTTCCCGTCCTGGGCCCTCAGCTGCCGCTGCTACCGCGTCTTGCATCCCGGCTGCTTCCTCCGAGCTGGGGACGCCACGAAGGTGCCCATAGAGGTGCTGGGCGAGGAGGGGGGGGTGCTATCGGCGGCCACATGGCCGCCGGCGCCTCGGCATCGGGCTCGGGTTGGGAGTCGTCGGAGGGTGTGGGTGTGGACCGGGGCGGGGAGGTATTGATGCCGCTGGGGCTAGGACTAGGCTGGAGCCTGTCGCTAATGTGGGCGGCCTTTCTGTTAATGTTTCTGGCTTGGTGCAGCTTTTACATGGCGGCACGGTCGTGGTTTCGGAGCGGGGGTGTAGGGGGGAGCGTGTGTGTGGGGGGGTGGAGGATGGGTGGAGGTAGTGGGGGGGGTATCGGGTCAGGGCTACTGCTGCTGCAGCCCATGGGTGTCGGGCGGGCGCGGCAGTCGCCGCAGCGCCGCTCATGGCTGGTGTAGAGTGTAGAGATGCTGGTGGTGGCGGTAATGGTGGTGGTTATCCACCCTTTGGTGGTGATTGACCGTTTGGTGGTAATTGACTATTTCACGTTCGCAATGGTGGAGGAGATTGGAGGTGTCTGGAGCTCAACGGATGTCAACGGAAGGAAAACTCATAATGACTCATATGGAATACGGCAAAACAGCAACCCAACGCGAGTGTGTGATAAAAGGCAGTGCGCCGATCTATCACCGCAGGGCTGCGTGCTGTATTTGTAAGCCGGCACAGGCGCCTCGCCCTTTTCGTTTCCTAGGAATGGTTTCTCCGCACACGTTGGTGCTGATGAGTTCTTGTAAACCCATTTACCAAGGAAAGAGACAACGCAGCTGGAGCTGCTCTTGCGAAGGGAAATAATAAGGCAGCTGCTGCGTTTCACTGCATTAGTAGTATTATATAGCTGCGGAGACCTTTTACGGTCCGTCTGGACACATGGCTTGCTGTCGGCATTCGCTGTACCTGTGATTCGACCGGGGGACGACACGGCTTGAAGTCATAAACAGTAATAGACCATCCTTCCTTTCCTGTCGTACGTGGCGGGCTAAGAGGTATGGGCGCTACAAAAAAGAAGCACCCAACCGCACTATAGACACACATGTCGCTCCTTCTTCTTCTTCATCTTCTTCCTGTTCGAAAGCGCACAGGGGGGGCCTGTCAGGGCCCTTTGTCAGTTGTTTCAATTCCCACCTCCTGTGTCTTCTTCTCAGATTTTCAATCTTCCTCCGACCGCCCTCCTCGCAGTTGTTAGGGAGGGAATGTGGCACCACCGCCGTGCATGTGCGTCTCTCTATCTATAGATCTTTCTCCTTCAGCGCACAGCTTGCACACAAACTCATCCACACATACATACATACATACATACATACATACATACATACATACATACATACATACATACATACATAGACACACACTTGACGACTAAGCATATCATTATGGCACTCCCAAAGGCAACCCCCGCAATGTTTGCTCAGGAGTCACTACTTGCTCAGCTCCTATCCGGCGCTCTACAAACGAAAACGAAGACACACACATATGAGGCTACATGAATACAGATATACAGGGGGTTGGGGAGGGGGGAAGGGGGGAGGACGCGTGTGTGGCGCTTGGTTCAGCGCACCAAAAAGATGGAGACGAGATTCCATTGAAGATATTCCGCACCAACAATTGGCCCCAGTTTCATGAGCCCCGGTGAGTCTCTCAATATTCTGGCCCTGAACACTCTGGGTTCTCCCACACATGCATGAAAACATACATACATACATACCCTAGTTGAGAATCCTACTCCCTCCCTCCGTCATCCTGCAGATGCTACGCACCAGTACAATACTCCTACCGCAATTCCTACAAAGCCTACAAAGCCCCCCCTCTTCACACACACACACACCCCGCCAAGCGCAGATTGTGGGATTGCGGTCCGCGATCTACCCCAAATGCAGTGTGACCTAATCGTAACGCGTTGCGCGCCCGCAATTTCCAGCCCCCTGAGCTCTCCTTAACCACCGCCACAGCCCCGCATTGACATCACCTCTGCCTCTGCCTCTCTCCAAACGGTTTTTCTGTGGTACTACAAGTATGATTCTTCTTCTTCTTCCTCTTCTCCTTCGAACCCTCTTTTACCCTCTTCAGCTGTGACCCCCCAACCTCCGCTGCACTCGCTGTGGTAAAGAGGTACAGCCACGTAGAGGTGCCGCCGCGTCCGCCGCCCAACGACACACTACCTTACACCCCACCATCACCACCCGGAACAAGACGTGTGCAGCAACGAACCGATCGACACGCGGCGGGCGGGCGGGCAACTCTCATCCACACATCCACATCTCCCCGCATGAAAAGTCACGTACATCACACCCAACCAACAACGTCGACCGGAAGGACTGATGGACTCAATCCGCACTCGCAAAACTCTTCCGCCCTCCCGTACACTGCCGGCCAAGGTCACGGAAATGTTCATTGCAACCTTCCCCCGCAACACTAAGGCCGCCTTGACAGCGAAATCACCTACAGCAGCATCTCTGCAGCATCTTGCTTCGCCTCCGCAGCCTTCTCATTGTTCTCCCGCTGCCTTGCCTTCGACGCCTCCGCAGCCTTATCGGCCCTGGCAGCTTCCTCACCGGTTCCGTTCCCTGTACGGCCCGCAGGCGCCTGGCCAAAGCTGCCGTTGGTACCGTTGGTACCGTTGCTGTACGAACGTCCGCCTGAGCTGCTGCGGGTGCCAGCGGCTTGTGCAGCGGCGCGCATAGCCCGGATGCGGGCCAGGGTCTCCGCCGCTCGGTCGGCCGCAGCCGCCGACGTCGCCTTGAGCTGCTGGATGCTCTCCTTCTTCGGCAGGGCCGAACCCGACGACGTCGACATCGCGGTCAGCGACGGCGACGGCGGCGGTGACGGCGGCGGCGACAGCGCCTGAGATTGTTCGGCCGCTGCCGCTGCTACTACCTGGCTCAGCTGCTGTAGCTCTCGTTGCCGTTGTTGCTCCTCCCCATGCTGCTGCTCGGCAAGCTGGCCCTGCAAAGCCGCCTCCAACGCCGCGGCCAACGCCGCCCCTGCTTGAGCCTGCTCGGCCGCCTCCGCCTCTGCCTCCTCAATCACCCCCTCCCGCCGCCGAGCGCCCTCCTCCACTCCTTCAAACACCTCCTCTTGCCGCCCCCGTGGCTGCTGCTGCTGCTGCTGCTGCCGCAGTTGCTGTTGTGTCACGATTTGTTGTGGCGCCGCTGCGCCTGGTTTCCCGTCATCGGCCAGGGTCACCTCACCTGGGTGTCCTAACCCGCGTCCTTCATCACGTCCTTGATAACCCCCCTGCTGCTGCTTCAGCTGCAGCTGTTGAGGTTGGGAGTGCTGCTGTAGCTGCTCCCCTTGCTGCGACGGCGGCGGCGCCTGCTGGGTTGCAGCTGTGGCTGCCTTGCCGCCGTCTCCACTTCTGCCGCCGCCGCCAGCTAAGCCCCTGAACACCCGCGAAAACCAGCCCACAGGACCGCCACCGCCACCACCATCACCGCCTCCATTAGATTGGGGTGTCGCAGCAGATGTGGTAGTCGACGAAGGTACAGCTGCGGGCTGACCCTTGCCGCTGCCGCCGCCGCTTCCTTCCTGTCCCTCCGCCTCCGCCTCCGCCGCCTCCATCGCCTCCGTCGCGGTCGCGGTGTTCAGAACAGCTGGCGGCTGAAGCTGCGGCCGCTCTGCAGCCATCTGTCCAACCACCTGCGGTCGCTGCAGCGCCATGTCGAGTTTCGACTTCGATCCGTCAGCACCGCCGTCAACCTGCTGTACGGCATCGCCCACCATCATTTCGGAATCGTCCGGATGTGCCTCACGCCACATCTTCAACAGCCGCTCGTACTCCTGATCCGCTGAAAGGGACACACTGACGCCGGTTGATGACCCGGAGCTCTGCCGCTGCCGCTGTGGCTCTAATAAGCCCTGCTGCGTCTCAAGTGGCGCCGCCGCCGCAGCGGCGGACATCCCCCGGCCTCCTTCCGAGCCCTCCTCCTCCCCCTGCTGCTGCTCTTGCATCTGCTGTAGTTGCTGCTGCTGCTCTTTCTCCTCTAGCAGCTGCTGCCGCCAGCCCCGCATGGCGTCGCGTCGGCGAGTATTCTGTCCAGGTGAAACAGCATCCGCCGGCACGCCGGAAGACGCCGCCGCCGCGGCGGCGGGGCCGCCTCCACCACCCTGCAGCTCGTCAATCTGTGCTTGAAGCTGCGCCAACGCCGCGTCAACATTTGCCAAGTCGGCCAAGTCGTCATCTTTGGGCTGCGGCGCTTGCGCCGCCGCGGCTTCGCCGCCGCGGTTGCGTGTCGGTGGCGGTGACTTCGGCGGCAGCGACGGCGCTCGCGCCGCACTGGAAGCCTCCTGTTCGCGCTGCTCCGCCTCCTCAACCCCAGCCCAAGGGTTCACCCCTAGCATCGCGCCCGGGCTGGCCCTCATACCTGAGAACCCACGAGGCCGTGACGTCGGCGGTGACGTCGGCGGAGGCGGAACGGGCCCCGGCATACCTGCGGCTGCCGCCGCTGGGTCATATCCGCCGTAAGAGCCATCGTACGCGTCGTACGGCGGCCGCGGGCCCCAGCGCCTCGCCGCATCCCAACCCCAGTAACCGCCGCCAGGCGCGCCGTAGTAATAATAGTACGGATCCTGCGGCGGTGCAGGCGCTGGCGGCGGCGCAGCCTCGTCGGTGTCTGCGACCGGCTCGTCCCATGCGGGGCCCCGGTACGATGGCGGGAGCGGTGGACCGTACGGAATGCCGTACCTGTCGTATTCAGCGTATGGCTCCCGCCACCAAGGCGGCGGCGGAGGCCCGTAATAGGATCCCGGGGGCGGGAAGACCTCGTAGTCCACGGCTGAATCACTGTACGGCAGCGGTACGGCAGCGCTGGGTGCGCCGCCTGGGCCGGGGCTGGGGTTTGCTGGCCAGGGACCCCGGCCGCCCTGGGCGGGTACCGTACCGGGTCTCGGCCAGCGGCCGGCGGCCGCTGTAGGGGCGGCGGCGGCACCAGGTGGCGACGGCGGCCGCTGTGGACCTGGCCATCGGCGGCCGCCAGCGCTTCCACCCCGCGGCGGCGGCGGCGGCCCGCCGTATGGGTACTCCGCCGCCGCTTCATACGCTCCATAAGCGGCCCCACGCGGCGCCGACTCAACCTGATTATTCAGCGGCCCCACCGCGGCGGCGGGACCAGCGCCGCCAGCGCCGGGCGAAGGGGGCCTTGCGGCACGCACTGCAGCGGCGGCGGCCGCCACGGCGTCAACGTCGACGGCTCGATTTGCTGGCGAGGAAACGGTTCGTACAACCGCCACGCCCGCCAGGCCGCCGGCGGCTAGCAGAGCTGCTTTCTCCAAAACCCAAGTGAGCGACGACGACGACGATGATCCGCCATCTGAGCGGTGAGGGCGCGGGTAAAGCAAAGAGAGTGAGCACGATCCCCATTACGATCGTATTTACAAATCATCGCCACGCCATCATCGCCACGTCATCCCTGCCACGCCACGCCATCATCCCCATCCTTATCGTCAGCCGTACATCAGTCAGGTAGGACAACCGACCCCATCCGCAGCTTTCACTCAACACCACACGCGCCTCCTCCCTCACTACGGCACCGCATAAATACATACATACATACATACCCCTGCCAACGCAAACCCACATCGACCCCGACGGGGCGCTCACCACCGGGGGCTGGCACCGCCGCCGCCACTGACTCCTCATCCTCCGCCGCCGCTTCTGGAACCGGCACCGCCCTGCTACCCCCCCGGCCGCCGCTTCGAGCGGACGTTGAAGTGGCGGCAGGAGAGCTTCCCCGGCTCTCTGTCCCTGCAGCAGTCCCTGAGGCCCTGGACTCCACCACCACCGATGGCGGCGGCGGCGGCGCTGCTGCTGCGGCGGCAGCAGCGTCATCGGTGTTTTGCTTCCTCCCGAACAGGCCTAGGAAGCCGCCGCCGCCGCCGCCGGCACTGCTTTTGGCGGCTCGAGCCGCAGCTGTGACCGAGTCGACAGCGGTATCGGACGCGGGGAAGGTGGTGCCGGTAGCGATTGGGTATAGCTCTATCCCTGGTGCGCTAAGTACGCCGCCCCGTAGCTTCGATGCGTCCCCACTGCGAGGCTCCGCTACCGCCGCTGCTGCTGCTGCGGGCCCTGAGGGCCAGGTGGGGTGGGGTGGGGTGACCCAGATGACAGAGAGAGAAAGAGAGAGAGAGAGAGAGAACATGGAGATAAGGGAAGGGGAAGAATTTTCCTGCTGTGTGTGTGTGTGCGGGGGGTTCGCGCAGATGCGGGGTAAACAGTTTTCACAAAAGAAGGTGCAGTCAGCAACATAGTCTGTTTGCGTTGCTGCAGGTTGTGTGTTACTGCAGGAAGAAGAGTTGTGGGTGCTATATGGGTAGATAGATATGGAGGCAATGGTTTGACGAGAGTGGTGAGATGTCTGGGTTTAGGACCCGGCGCATGTGCTGGACGCGCTCGCCTGTCTGGTCTGATCTATGGCGCGTAAGCGCGCTCTAGGGTAGCGCGAGAGTGATGGCGCGCTTTTTCGATTAAGCTGTTATGGGAGCCTGGGCTGCATGTCGGTTGTATTCCTGATGATGCTGAGCTCGAGGGGGCGCTGTGCTCTACTGTTAACGGTAATCGAACCTGATAGCCCCACCTTCAGCGCTGATAGCAGCCCTGGGGGCGAAACCCAAATAAGAAACATTTACTGGTGAGGAAGACTCGACCTGCATTATGAAACACCAATTTGCGGGGATCGGATAAACATGGAACTGGTATGCAAGCTTAGTTACATAACTCCCACGCATCATGGCTAATACATAGTGCTGGTAAGACGTTAAAGCAATCAGCTTTTGTGTATTATTATTGCAGACACTAAAAGCACTTCACGCACCAAGAAAGCGATGGCAGAGGCTGCCATCAGAGACTCCAGCCGATGCTCCGCAGCTCGTAAAATGCATCGCTTGCGATCGTAATGTAAGGATAAGGCATAATTCCTATTTTTGCAAAGGGCCGGCAGTTGGGCATTTTGCCCAAGGCCGTCCGGAGCAAGCTTGGCGGAACGAAGCATTCCCTGACAACGGCCTCTACATACAAAGAGAGGCCTTAAGCCTAAAGCCTAAACCGTGTAGACAGCCGATGCTAACATGCTAACCCCAATTGCCAGCGGCCCTGCTGTCGCAACGCCGTTCACAAGGAAGCCGTTAAGCCCCTCAGGACAACAATTGTTAAAAAGTTAGATAAATAAATGCATAAATGCCATGTTGATACCATAGAGACGTGCAACACTCGTCCTATGCCCTGCCGTGACCGCTCGATCCCATCGTACTGATGGCAAATCCCGCTGCCGTCCACATTTCAATGTTGTCACCTGATGGCAACATTTCGCTATGGATTTCTTGAAAGTCCAAGATTTTGTGCTTAACGTGACACGTTAGGTACTACGAAGCACCGATGCCTAGTACATAGAGGAAGAAACTTGGAGGTAGCGACAACAGCCTGTTGACTACTCGCCGAAATGGTGGAATTGTGCATTTGATGTTTGAAACATTTGCGGAGAATATCGGTTTTGGCGGGATGAAGTCTTTAACATACCGAAGGGTGTTTCATGTGATTCCTAGCGGATTGAAACACAGACTGTAGGAAAGGCACAGAATTTGAAGTTTTACCTGTAGATGACACCCTTGACCTTCGCTTGGTCTACCTTGGAGTGTCGAGTGGCAAACACTGTGCTTCGGGGCTTTGTTGAAGACGCAACCCTAACAGTGCCCCCTACTCCGCTTGATTTCCGAATTCCAAAAGTAACTGCGAAATAGTCTCTGCTGGCGTGCGTGCCATGCCCCGCGAGCTCGTCACCATCCAAGTGGGCCAATGCGGCAATCAAGTCGGCTGCCGATTCTGGGAACTCGCCTTAAGAGAACACGCGGCCTACAACACAAAGGGAGTTTACGACGAGGCTTTAAGCAGGTGAAACCGAAACGATGGCCCAGTTCACCAGAACCAACTTTGCACTGCTTACCCCCAATCCTCTGCCAACCCCCCTGGGACAAAAGCTTGAAATCCCCTGCCCTGCCCTACCTCCCCTCCACTTGATCCTGACCCACTTCCATCTCCACACAGGCCCCTCAGCTGCCGCCCCTCCCTCCCTGGCCCCTGCTCTCTGCCTGCATACCTGGCTCCCCGCCTCTCCCCCTCCCGCGCAGCTTCTTTCGTAATGTGGACACGCGCGTTGAGCCCCCCAGGTTGGGTGACGGGGGAAATACCACACGGGCAAGGCAGGAGGGTTTCGAACTGGTGGCGGGAGCGGGGAAGCGGGGGTACAGGAGGGGGGGAGAAATGGAGGCAAGCGCGAACGGGGTAGGGGGGGGGCGGGGGAACTGTTATTCGGCAGAAGGGGGCTCCGGATGCCGGTATTGCATTGTATTTGCCGACCCCACCATCACCTGCCGTGGTCGTACGTACTTTCTCGTCCAGCCGTACACCACAGACACCATGTGGAACATACTCCCTGCATCTCTCGTTGTCCTTTCCGCCTTGACCTTGGATACATCCCCCGCCTGCACACATACATACATACGTACGTACGTACGTACCTACATACTTGGCATTCATATTTACATTGTACAGGAATCTGCCGGTTGGAGACGGTCGGGGACCTATTCGCACGCTCAAGGTCAGGTCAGGTCTGGGTGGTGGGGGGGGGGGGCCCACAGCTCCGGCTAGCTGAGGGGGGCGTTGAGGGAGGGGGCGAGAAATCACATGATGGTGGTGATGATGATGATCATAATGATGGTGGTGGTAGTGATAATGATGATAGTGATGATGACGACGACGGTGATGATGACGGCGACGGTGGTGATGACGACGGTGGTGATGATGATGATGATGATGATGATGATGATGACGATGATGACGATGGTGATGTTAGCGGAAGGAACGGATCAGCGGTGGGGTCGACTGACGTCCCCAATAGCGCCATAGCGACATGCAACAATAGCGCCAAACTGACTGGCGGGTGTAGCCGGCTGCCTCCGCCGGGGGGCCCCCGGGCCCCACACACACATACACACACAGCGGAGGCCTCCTTGGTGTGCATACGACACCAGCTCTCTCCCCCTCCTCCTTCGTCATCTTTTGAATTCCACTACGAGCTCCGAAACAAAGGTGACCCAAATCAATATAAACCGATTTAATAGCCCTCGAGCTGAGCTGGACTGGCTGAGCTGAACTGACTGACCCACGGGTCGATTCTGCTGGCACTGCTGGTCCACCCCCTTAGGCTCGTTCCGTGATTGTGGACATGGAGTGCGGCGTTATCAATGAAATGCTCAAGGTGGGCGGTGATGGTGGTGGTGGTGGTGGGATGTGTGTGTGTGAGGGGTGTGTGAGGGGTGTGTGTGTGTGTGTGTGTGTGTGTGTGTAGTTCTCTTTCCAATATCGAAGAGCAACGACAAAAGATCACCACCTCTTCTGATTCTCCTGCACGTTTTTTTTATAAGAAACATGACATGAAGAAAATTGGAAGTTTCGCCGTTGTTGCTGTTCTTGGCATAACCTGGTTTGTACTTGCACATATATTTGAAGACAGTTTCTATACGCCTCCTCGCCACCTCTTTTTCCTCCACCTTTACTTCCTGTTCACGTAAATCGTACCCCTGGAACTTCCGTACCTGTTGGAAATGTCGTACCCACATTCCGCGCTTCACATCTTTTCCCACTCGCCCCCTTTCCTCCTTTCTTCTTTCCCCTCGCTTTTGGGCTGGGTTGGAATGGGATGTCGTACTGGCGGTTACATCCGGTGGTGGTTATCACCAACCGACCATAGGGCCCGTTGGGTGAGGTGTTAGACACCAGGCAGTTGGTGTCCGATGTGAGCGGTGCGGGCAACAACTGGGCGCACGGACATCACATGTACGGCCCGCAGTACCACGACGCGATCCTGGACAAAATCCGGCTGACGACGGAGGACTGCGACTCGCTGCAGGTGAGAGAGAGAGTGTGTGTGTATGCGATCAGATCTTCCCTCCCCCCCCCACACTCTACCCGGGGGTCTCCCAACCCGTCTCAAGCCAATCGCTACCCTTTCGCATATGCTCCACACTCCCCCCTCCGCTATCTCCCATCTCTCTCCTCCCCCTCTCCCCTCCCTCTCTCCCCTCCCCTTCTCACACCTTACCTCCCCCCCTCACCCCCTCCCGCTCCGTTCCAGAGCTTCATGTTGCTGCACTCATTGGGGGGAGGTACAGGCAGTGGAGTGGGTACGTACATCGTACAGATGCTGGCGGTGAGTCAGAAAACATGGCCTCTGAGTGACCCGCCGGTGGGTCGGTGGGTCGCTCGGGAAGTGAAGCGAACTGGTTGACCTGGTGTGGGGATGTCTCCCCCAGCCCCGTTGGGCTCGTGAAGGGCAGTTTGGTACTCGGAGGCGTGTCGGCAGTTGACTCCCCCTTCGTGGCTTTTAGTGCTCCGCAACGCCTCTCCCCGCCCGACACTAACACGCCAGTCTTCCCGCCGCCTCCCTCTTGCAATGGAATCCGTGCTTTTTGCATCGCATCCTCCTCTCCCCGTCAAAACCCTCCGGCCCCCCGCCCTTCCCCGCCCTCCACGCCCTTCCCCCCGCGGGGGTTGGGGGGAAATGCTGCAGGACGAGTTTCCCAATGTGTTTCGTTTCACGGGCAGCGTGTTTCCCTCGGAGGAGGATGACGTGGTCACATCGCCGTACAACGCCCTGCTGGCTCTAGGGCAGTTGGTGGAGCACGCGGACTGTGTATTGCCAATAGAGAACCAGAGTTTGATTGAGATTGTGAACCGTACGGAGGCGGCAAGGGAGAAGGCGGCAGGTGGGTGGGTGGGGTGACGTGTGTGTGTGTGTGTTTGGCGGAGGGGGAAGTTGGGGTTTTGGGGTTTCGTTGCGCGTCAGGAAGGCTCCATTGTGATGTGCTGTGATGGAAAGGACGCGCAGAGATTGGGAGAGATCAATAAGTGAAGCTGGAGGAGAGTGGTAGTGGTAGTGGTAGTGGTGGTCTTTCGTTTTGAATGTTCTCGTTTTTTCTCTTTTTTTTATTACAAGCTTCTTGAGCTTGTACGGCCCAGACGAGCCAAGAGGCTCATGAGCCGCCGAGCTGGAAACAATAACTGAAAAGGATAAAAAAAGAAATGTTCTGATTGCTTTTCTGATTCTTTAACATCTTCGTGTGCTGGTGTGTAACGGTATCTGTTAGTTATCTGTTATGTTTTTGTGATAATACCTGATTGATTAAAAAAGGAGACCCAAATCGCACCTACTGTCGTACACGGTACGATACCGAGCGGGGCTGTATATCAGCGCGTCATGCGTCATGCATCATGCGGTGCTGGTGCTGCTGCTGTAGCCGTTACGAAATGTGTAAATGTGTATGATATCATATTGCCACGCAACCCCCCGCTCCCGCCTCTACTTAGGACACGACATGCCTTCTTTTTGTGTTTTTTCCCCTCCCGCTGTTTCCCCCTGTTTCCCCCCTTCCCCCCCGGCCCGCGCAGGGGGCAGTGGTGCAGGAGGCGGCAGCGGTGGCGGCGGCAACCGGAAGCCCTTCGACTCGATGAACAGCGTGGCCGCGAGTCTGTTGCTGCACATGACGGCGAGTGTACGATTCGAAGGGCCTCTGAATGTGGATCTGAACGACATCACGATGAACCTGGTGCCGTACCCGCGGATGCACTTTTTGCTGTCGGCCATGTCCCCCCTGGAGCCCCCCCCTCGGGAGAAAGACGTGGGCCGCCAGGTGTTGGCGTTACAACCCAGGACGTTGGATCAGGTGTGCGGGCGGGGGGAGGGGGGCTGCCGGTCTCAGCTGCCGGCAGCTTCTCATGCCATCTCACGATGTTTTATGCCACACTATGCCATCCCATCGCATAAATATTCAGTGCACATACATACATACATACTCCCGACCCGTGCGCTGTGTTTCGGCTTCGGCCCCCGGCTCTCGCGGCCCACAGTGTAATCTAAGTCATACATGCATGCATACATACATGCATGCATACATGCATACATACATATATGCATACATGCATACATACATACACACGCAGGTATTCGGGGAGGTGTTCAGTCGGGAGCACCAGCTCATCCGCGCCGACCCCCGCAACGCCACCTACCTGGCATGTGGCCTCATCGCCCGGGGGCCCGCGGCCACCATATCCGACATCAACCGCAACGTGGCTCGACTGCGGCCACAACTGAGGATGGTCCATTGGAACAGCGAGGTGAATGGTGGGGGGGGGCGGGCTGGGGCGGGGGACGAGTCCAGCAGAAGGTAGTTTACCTCGTCCGCCAGTCTGTTTGGAAGCCACCGGAAACATCAGGCATACGATTCGCTTGCAAATTTGGAGAACCATTGGATTTGAGGGTGGTGGTACAGATGATGGTGGTGGTGGTGGCGGAGGGGGCGGACGGTGGCCTTCAGCAGAGGGTGCGGGTCTGTCCCTCCCTCCGTTAACGATTGGCTCTCGGTGCTACCCACATGCAAAGGAGCGGACGGGTGAGGGTGGGATGGAGCGGGAGTGTTTGTGTGGTCACGGAGGGGGGGGGAGGCGGCGAGGGTTTTTCAATCGGAAGGGGGAGGGGAGGAGGGAGGAGGGGGAAAAGACGAACCACGAGCGAGTGAAGGTGATGCCAAGGAAAGATGCGGCGGATGTAAAGAAAGGGGGGGGGGTAACGGGGGGGCCCCGCCCTAGGAAAGGGTAGAGCCAAGCACCCTCTCTCCCTCTCCCCCCGCCCAAAAGTCACTCTTCGCAACAGCGCTTCCTCCCCTTGCTTCCCTCGCTTCTGTTTCCCCTGCAGTCAGTCCCCTAACACCATTTCTAAGATTAGCATCCTCACTCCACCCCTTTTCATCCCCGCTTCCTCCACCACAACCACTACCACCTGTACCACAACCACCACAGGGGTTCAAGCTGGGTATCTGCAGCACACCCCCTGTGGGCAGTCCCTTCGGGTTGCTGTGTCTAGCCAACAACACCGCCATCGCCTCCACCTTCACAACCATGCGGGAACGATTCGATAAACTGTACCGCCGCAGGTACGATACGAGTACGGAAATGTACCTCACTCGGGCTGTACCTCAAATCACCTCCCATAAATGCGCAGAGAAAACATGTTCCAACTGGCTGCTAGCACCGATTATGATCCTCGCCTCGCCTGAAGGATAATGTTCGAATTACACGATTGAAAATGTTTTCAGCTTTTGGCTGACATTTTCTTAGCCGTAATACTTTTTACGAGACATGCTCAACCCCTATTCTTTGCTCAACCCCCCCGGCCTTGGGTTTGTAGTAGGAGCACCACCGCATGTCTGTCTGTCCATAAAATGACGCTCGGCAGCTCATCATCATCTGCTCACCCGCGGGCCACATGCACCGGGGGGAGATCCTGCCCCCAAATCCTTCTTTTACTCTCCACTACAGCTCTTCTCCTCCTTACCTTGACCGTGACACCAGCATCAAAATCAACATCAGCACCAGCACCAACGGATATTAACCCACAACTACCACCAACGGATATTAACGGATATTACCAACTACCAGCAACCAACCCAATGAGACAACTGACCATATTGTTGTACGATCACGTGCTGTTCCACCGAGACCTCAGGTTTTACACGCACCACTACGAGCAGTTTATGGAGCTGAGCGGCTTCGAGTCGGCCCTTGAAGTGGTGGGCGACCTCACCGGCCAGTACCTGCAGCTGGAGGGGGCCACGCGGCCGCCCGCCATCACCCGACTAAGACCCAGAGGACTGTCCTTCCTGCCGCTGTAGAGGTTGTGGATTGCGCTGTTACTAGCGGGTCACAGTCTAGAGGGTTACAGGTTACACATGTTCAGGTTGTGCCAATCGGCGCGTAGGGGGGCCCCCACGTCCACGTTAGGCCTCCAGAGCGTAACGCAACTCTCCAGAAGGTGTAACGCACACACACATACACACACGAACACACACACAAAAAAAAAAAACAGGCGCAGTGAAGTGGGTGGTGTTGCTTCGTACATTGCCGGTGTAACAGTTCCGGGTGTTTGGAGGCAGCGAGGAACACACAGCCACATCACGCATTGTGCGGTGCGTGGATAAAAAAGCAGCCTATTTTTTAAAAACTTTAAATGCTATCTACCTATAACGGCTTCTGCTCCAGGAAATTACCCCGGTGTGCTTCGGCCTCAAAAACGAGAATGATGATGGTGGTGGTGGTGGTAACTGACTCCACTGTGGTGTCGTAATTCATGGGATTCATTTCGTGTTTTCCTTCGTGTCAGGTTGCGCGTTTTACAACAGGAAAGGAGGAAAGGTAAGACCTCCGCAAGTCAGAGCTCACTTCTGGGGCAGCGAACCGGTGGGAAAACACACCACACGAGTGTATACACACATACACACACACTACGCACTGTGTAGTGGTGGCACCTGAGTAGATGGCTGTGCACTGATGCTCTGCTTACTCTCCCCGTCCGCATCCACATTGATGCGGGAGTCGTCTATCCCCCAACCTGTCTAGCGCGAGTTTTGGATGAGCGCAAATGAACACGAGGAGCTGTGTCACCCATTTTTGAATTTAAACTACGAGCGGGAGTCATGCCTATTGTTTCGAGAGGCGGCGCACAAAAGAAGAAGGCATTTGCAACTTTCAGCCATCTCGAAGTGTCGCTTGTCCCCAGCGGCCCATGCACATGTGATTGAGCTTTCCTCGAAAATGAGAGAGGCTCTTCCCCCCACAAAAGAAGGAAACAGACAAAGCTCAGGCAGACAGGCGCCAGTGGCAGTATGGGTACAAAAGCGTGAGTGACAGCAGCGGCGCGGCAGGGTCGTCGGAGTTGGCAAAAAGCCACCACCCAGCGCTAAAATACGCGCCTTGTCGTATCGTTTAATATCAACAACAACGACGTGGACAAACACAACAGCAATCGCGCACGTCGGCCACCAGCCGTGTTTCCCCATCTCCATTAATGGCTGTGAGGGGCCCCCGTTACAATATACAAGGAGAAAAACGACCGGTCCAATCTTTCCGGAGGGGTGGGAATGGTATTAGGTATAGCCGCGTTTTCGAGGCCTCCCTCCTCTCCCCCCTCCTCCTTCCCATCAATTTTAATGGGCTGTGTGTGTGTCTCCATAAAGCGGTCCGTAACCGAAATCGCCGTACGGTAGTACGGCAATACATCTTTTGATGATTTCCTCGAGCGATTAACACGTCCGTCCGTCCGCATGTACGTGTTGGAAATAGTCCAGTAGCAACGTAAACAGTAGATGGGCATCGTCAAGACACATCACATACATACATACAGTTGACACACACACACACATCACACTCTTCTTGACGTTAATGCCTGCCCAGGTTTCCTCTGTGATTTCCTACCCGCCTAAATTCACGAACGAAAAACCCAAATGGCAAATTACAGCTTTATCCACGCTGTACTTATAGAGAGTAAAGATCATCCGAACGAATCGCCCGTGACTGCGCAAAGAGCCAAACACTACAAAACTGCCTAAAGCCACCGCCACCACAGCTATTAGCAGCAGCTGCGAACAACAGGTCGCCGACCAGCAGCATCTTTCCTGCATTCCTCAAGATCCTGCACGGCCGAAAAAAACCCTCATATACTGCGTGCCTTCAACACCACACAGAAGAAAAACCACATATGCGTCAAGTAACTGCAGTCCTGCCTCCGCAAAGCACACCGTACATGACCCCCCCAAGGCAATCCTTTCCCCCTGCCGAAGCCAAGACCCCCATTTGAACAGGAAAACAAACACAAGAAGCCGCAGGAGGTGCGCTCATAGCAAGCCTGACACACAGGACAAAACCCCTAACCCGTGCCTCGTACCCGGCCTCGTGTCATAGTATACACACCGCCACAGCGACCCAAAGAGAGTCCCGTTTTTCCATCCCCCCAAAAATGCCACAACACCTACAGCCGCAGGAGCAGCAGTACCGTAAAGAGAGAGACCACCAGCTGAAAAAATAACGCCAGAAAAATCTCAGATGATCTCCATGGTGATGATGTCGTCCCCCCCCCCCAACAGCCCTGCCCGCAGCAACTTAAGGACCGCCCCCCAGGTCTATACCGGGGTGTCGACGTCATTCATAAACACGTGTGGCTGTCTTACGGCGGCCCGCTCCGAAGCTGCTTCCAGGGGAGGGCCTAGGCACCCGGGGGCTCCCCCACCCGATCCCCCACCCGATCCCGCACAGGGCTTTGTCGTGTCGGCAGCGCCCAGTGATAGCGCCATACACACACACACACACAACCCGGTCCCCTGCTGCGTATACGAGTAACGCATTAGCTCATTCTGAATCTGCCTCCTCCTTTTTCTCCTTCTTTTCCTTCTTCTCCTTTTTCTCCTTCTTTTCCTTCTGCGGCGTTTGGGAGAGCAGTTGGGAGTTAGTTGGAAGACCACGGTGGCGAGAGGGCTCAAGGAACGAGGGATGGACCAAGGTGCGGCGCACAGAGTTTTGACTCTTTAGGGCTCTCCAATTTAGTTTTTCTTGGCCATGTCAGGCAAGGTGGTATCTTCTAACAACCACCAAATGAACCATCACTTCCCTCCATTACCATCACTTCATTATTAACCGTCCCGTCAACCAATGAGCTGCCCAAGCCCAAGCCTGGCAAGCTTCTCAAGCAGGACAATCACGATCGCAACGAGAGGAGAAAGCCGGACACCAGACGAGCGATGTTGGTATACGGGTAGAGGGTGAGGAGGAGGAGGAGGGACCAAACAGCCATACATCACACAAACCCGCTTGTGCCCATATCTCCATATCGCCCTCCAGGATGCTGAAAAAGAGACCCCCTCTTCCCCGCCCCCTTCCACGATCCTGAATGACCACACCTAGCCGCATAAGCCCCCACTACCCTGGTGACTGAACCCCATGCACGACATAAAAACATAAAACATATTATGCCCAGCAGCGAAACCACGCGGGGGCCCACGCGGTTACCTCCCCCCAACCCAACCCAACCCAACTCGCATGTACCTTCTTCTTCTCGGGTTTGATCCCCTCGTCGCTGGGCGCGGGGGAAGCAGACGCAGCCCGTTTCTTCTCCTGGCGGGCGGAGGAATGGGAGAATGGAGGGAGAAACGCCACCACATCAGTTTCGAGGAGGACGGGCAGGATCAAGGCCGTCTTGCACACATATATATACACACACACGCACTCCCTCTTCCTCTCTCAGACTTTACCTAGGACGTAAAACGTACATACATACGCGAGGCTGAGGCCGAGCTATCGCCAGGGACACAACGGTGCTGCGCAACACAACCCCTCTTGTCTTTAAATTCCTATTCTTTGCTGTGAAGTCGACTGACTGACTGACTCGATGGCTCCTTTGACTCATCCTTGCCACCCAGACACCCCTCTGGGCCCCGCACAACAACCGCTGCGGTGGCGGACACCCCGCAACCGCCCGAATCCAGTCTTAGCTTCAAATATTGTGTAATTCCTCTTATTCCCTCTTAATAAGAAATTTCTTCTCAGAAAAAATGCAGTGTTGTATAGTCCCTAGTCCCCTCCTACTCTTCAGTTCCAGATTCGCTGCGCCCGTAGTTAGCGCTCCAAGTGGCCTCAGAGGGCGAATGGCTCCATTGCGCTCCAGAAGAATTTTCCCTACGTCCCCCTACTGGTCCTTTTCCCTACGTCCCCCTACTGGTCCTTTCCCATCCACTACTCCATCTCCCCATCCCCACATCGCCCCGTGCGCACAACAGTCCGTTTGGCCAGCACCGATATAGACACACAGGTCTCAGCTCTCCTCCACCCGCACCTTCTTCTCCTTCTTTTCTTTCTTCTTCGCCGATTTGGCCTCCGTCTCCTCCATCTCCACGTCCCCGCCCGCTCCATTTTGCGCAGCCTCCTCCTCCTCCGCCTTTTCGTTTGCAACGTACGACAAGGAAGAACGTACGATGCGTTGTGGCGCCAGGAGAAGCACATAAGCAAGGAAAGCATACGTGCTGTCGTCGGGGAAAACTAAACCGCACCAACTAACCGACTAACCAACCAACTTTAATAAATGCTCATGCCCTTCTTGATGTCAAACAATTGCGGGCCAACAGCACAACCCCCAACCCCATGTAACACTTCACTCCACGTGGAACTAGGGTAGATCATCCAACATGTTCACCAACGACACATTAACCCGCCCCCTGCCGGTATCTCCCTCCATACCCAGACATATTCGCACCCTCCCACTCTTCGCCTTTTGTCGCGCACACCACTCCTACCTTCTTCTTCTTGTCCTTCTTTTTCTTCTTCTCGGACTTCTCCGCAGCGGGGGTCTCTGATTCCGGAGCCGCCGCCGCCGCCGGTGTCGCCTTGGGTGCGGGCGTCACCGCTCCCGCTGCCGCGGCCGCTGCGGGCGCGGGTGTTGCCGCTCCTGCTGCCCCCGCTGCACCCCCGTTTGCCACATAGTCCGGCAGCGATCGCAAGTACTCCTTCGGGGTGTTCTCGTTCGGTCGCCCGTGCTTATCCAGCTGCACGGCAATGATGATGATGGGGATGATGAAGAAGAAGATTAGGAGAAGTGGGGATAGGAAATGGCGGGAATGAGTTAGGACTAGTGGCGAAGGGAAGTACATATAGCCGAATATATTGAAGGTGATTGGTTTTCAAGGAGGGGGACCGGATAGCCCCGGATAGAAGCTTTCCTGAGAAAAAAAGCTCCCACCTTCCCTCGACCTCCAATCCGCTAAAATTGTTGGCCGGCATTGTTAGCGTGTCTCGGCCTTCCTTCCCTCCTCACCCCTCTGCAAATCCTCCTTTCGTCCTCTGGGTTCCTTCAACTCTCCTTCAACCTATTGCGAGTTTAATAAACCCTCCCCGCCTTTTTGCCTTTCACACTCCGTCAGGTAAAAAAAAACAGTCTCCCCCAGAAAAACAGGAGTTCTCGAAAACCTCACCCTACCTTCCCCTCTGCTATGAGTTTCTTCTTGAGCTGCGCAAAAGGCCCCAGACCCCAGCGCCGCGGGTACGTGTCGCGCTCCATGATGACGCGCTTGATCTTGGCCACGCAACCGTGGTCCACCGTCGCCATGACCGCCGTCGTCATCTGGGCAATGCCCACCGCAATCGCCTCGCCCTTTGTAGTCATCAACACGATCTCGTCATCGACCTCGATGCCGCTCTCAAAACGCAGCAGACCTGGAATCATCAGTTTCGCACCGTAGCAAATTGCGTTGACCGCGCTGTCCTTGACAACGACGCGTTTGAAACCGGTCAACAGCACCTCCAGCGGCATAATCGCGCGACGGAGGTAGCTTTCGTCCTTGAAGTTGTCGTATATCCACTGCGCGTCCAGGACGTCGTGCATGGTGACCATATTGTTGTTGGGGGACTCGCCCATGATGCCGGAACGAACACGGCGAAGCTCCTGCATGTGCCCTCCGACACCTAGGAGCAAGCCCAGATGGACACACATCGTCCGGACGTAGGTGCCGGCCTCGCAGCTAATCCAAAAGACACCCATGTGGCGCTCCTCATCGTACTCGTACAGTTTTGCCTTGTAGATTGTACGGATACGCAGTTGACGTTTGACGGCAGAGATGAGCGGGGGCCGCTGGAACAGCGCGCCGGTAAGGGTTTCTAGGGCCTTAGCGACGGCGCCGGTGCCTCCCTCGACCTTGGAGTGGAACCGAACGATGCAGACGTACTCTTTGCCGGCGGCCTGCTGGGATTTGGCCAGGCGCGTTGCGCGGTCGATGCAGACGATGAGATTGCCCGTGACTTTCGGGTCAAGGGTGCCGCTGTGGCCGGTCTTCTCGACGCGCAGCATACGCTTCACCCACGCGACGACCTCATGGGAGCTGGGGTTCGAGGGCTTGTCCAGGTTGATGCAGCCGTAGGAGATGTACTCCTTCAGGCTGCGCTTCAGGGGCGTGCTGCCCGCTGGAATGGGTGTGTAATGGCCCGTCCGGACATTGAGCTTGTCGTAGTGCTTTAGCAGGAGAGGCCACTTGCTGGTGTCGAGCTTTGGTATCGTCTTTTCCGGCGCGATAAGGAAATCTGTCTTCTGCTGCACCTCGCCCACGGTCATTTCTCCGACTGCGGCGGCTGACTTGGCCCCGGCGGCCGGCGTTTCGCCCTTGTCCTTCTTTTTCTCCTTCTTTTCGGCGGTACCCATACCGGCTAAGTCTCTATGAAAAGTGCAAAACGTAAAATCAAGCAGGCGCCGCCCTGACGGAAAGAGCGCGACTAATATCGGCGTCCTCTAATACAGATCGCTATCGTTATAATGGTGTGCATGTATTGCAGATGCGAAACAGTAGAGCCCATCCGACATCTTTCCCTCTCGTCGGCCATAGCCGCCGTACTCTGGACGAGAGGCTGCACGTCGGCATCGTGCCAGGTTGCAAAACCAACTGTGAATTCACGGTGAAGTTCTATTAGGGTGATGATGAAGCAACGCACTTAAAGGATCATCTGCACAGTACCTGCGAGAAGACGATCGTGGGGCTTCGATTCACATCTTCACCTTCGCCACAATTAACTTTCCCAACTGTTAACCGCTATGCAACTATGACTTGGTCGGATGAAGTGCACAACAACCGCTACCAAGCTGCCATCGCTCGGGCCACAGCGGAGCGCAAATGGCGCAAACGGGGCCTGCCAGTGCCGGTGATGGAAACAGCACAAACAGGGCCGCTACTGGCGATGGTTGCAGTCACGTCAGGGCTCATTGCTTGGCAGCACTGGGCCACACCACTCAGAGCAGCGCTGGCCCAGCACCCGCTGGTCCAGCAATTCCGCTCGCTCATCTTCGGGCCCGCCTCTTCAGCCCCGCTCTCCGTCCCAAGCAAAAGCGCCAGCAGCAAGGGCATCGTCGCTTCAAAAGTCAGCGCGCGAAAGCCGCCAGTAGTGGTGCCGACGCCGGCGCAGGCAGCGGCGGCAGCCGCGGAGGCGCGCTTGGCAGCGGTGCCCAGCCCGCAGGTATTGTGATCATGCTGATACGGCCGTTTCCTTCCTATTCCCCGGCCCTGCTGCCGTTCGAATCACGCGCAAGAGTTTGGGTCCTTGTGTTGCGGTGCCGCATGGTCACACACATACACACACGTCCTCTGCGGTGCAATTTTTCGCCTCTTCCCAAAGCCCCTTCCTGTCCCGGTGCTCTGCAGACATCTCCGCCGCGAGTGGTACCTCCCATCCCCACCCGACCTGCCCTGACCGGACCGCAGCCACAGGCGAGCACGAGCGCCTCCGAGGCGGCCGAGTCCGAAAATCCAAGCAGCAGTGGCGGCACCGGCGCTGGCGGTGGGAAAAGCAAGAAGAAGAAGGGCAAGAAGCGGCGCTGAGTGAGCGCTGTGGGGTTTTTGGCTGAGTGACCGGCAGGATGGTGGCGTGCGATGGTGGCGGCACCGGCGGCGATGGCGATAGCAGCGGCAGCCTCATCATCCCATCGTGTCATCAGACGTTTTTCTTGGGGTCGTGAGTGAGGTGGCGCGTGTGGGCGCCGCGCCGTGCCGTGCTTTAGGACGCATCCGCGTTGGCATTGGCTCCGTGCCATAAGATCCAACAGAGGTATACAATGCCGCTGAGGTTGTGGGGGATGGCACAGGGTGGACTGGTACGGGGTGAAGCTTAATGGTGGGCTGGATAGAGACGTTTAGTAACTTGGTAGACTTAGCTATGCGAATAGCTAGAGGAAAATGATGTGGGTTTGGGGCTTGGGGATACTTTGGTCGTGGTCTCCGATGATAATGCTGGATTGTGGAAAGCAGTCGGTTAGCAGTTGGTTGCACTTGACCGTTTCCAAAGTCGTCGGTTTCATTGAGCTCGCTTGGAAAGTGCATAGCGCGGCGTGCTGGTCGTGCTGTAGCATAATGGTTTGATAGTCTTATCTGAAGGTCCTTCCTCACGTACATGCTTACGTTCTGCATTGAGACAGCTCTGGGTTAGTCACTGAACACCGGGGATGTCAGGCCCAACTTTGCAAATGCGAAAAACATCAGGAAATGAAGAAGCAAGCAAGCAAATCAAGAGATCTTTCCTCGGCTCCAAAACCACCCCCTAACCATCGTTTGCTTCAACCTAACAGCCACCAACATCAGTCAACATCAGTCTGCGTGCACCCATAGGCCAGATGCCATCCACGTGGCCTCTAGAGCCTTACGCCTTCTGATACCTTCCCAGCACAACACATGTTTATTCTCCGCTTTCCTACCCCTAGTGAAACAGCTGTCCTCCTTTTCCGCTTTTTCAAACCAATAAGCCTCCCTCATCGGCCATGTGGAGCTCTTCTCTCTTGCGCAGCCTTGGCCCTATACCTTTCCACTCCTCTTTCTCACAACCCTCTGGCGCCATTTCCCCCACCTACTACCAGCAGCTGCCGCCACAACAGCAGCCGGCCCATGTTGGAATGTATGTCATTCTTGCCGCGAGCAGAGCTGTACACACATACTCTTGCCCTGGCCGCCACTGCCTTCCACTTGTTTATATTGTCACCAGTTCCAGACACCTTTGGCCCCGGCCGCTGCGGCACGCATGGCACTCAATGTGACGTCTCCATCCTCGATTTTTCACGGAACCACTGCCAGCGCTATGCTCTTCATCCACATCATTTGAAGCACACCGCCCAAGCATATCCTTCCATGAAACCTCATGAGTCAATGTTCACGACACCACCTACTTTCTAGGGCCCCAACATTCAGGAAGGCCTCTTGCCGGTGCTGTTGCACATTTCCTTGTGTGTTGAGCAATGTCGCCTCTGGCAGTCCACACTGCGTTAGAGTACCGTCATGCACCCCCCACACTTCTTCGTCCCCTTGTGTCCACATCCAGGCCACACTGGAGCACCATCTGAAGGTGCTGCAGGCGCTGGGCCATATCTCCTTGGGTGCAGTGGAGAACATTGGGCTGCAGCCGGGCTACAGCCTGAATGCCATGCTCAAGTACATCAGCAGCTCGATTTTCAACTGTGTAATGACCCCCGACACAACCAGCTACAACCAGGCCACGGTGCAGGCCATGCTGGAGGCTGCCAAGGCAGAGGAAGGCGGTGGCAGTGGCAGCGGCCATGGTGGCTGCGGCATAGTGCGCATGAGGCGCACTATGCCTCATCACAACAGGTGCAAAAGGATGCTGACAAGGACCGGGGATGTTCCACACACACACACACTGGCTGTCACTTGGCCAAGGGTCCTGTAAAGTGACAGCCAACTTGGCCAATGGGGGAAAGACGAACCATGAACAAGTGAAGCTGCTGCCAGGGCAAGAGTGACAGCCAGGGGGGGGGTCTACAAGTACAAAATGGCACCTCACCTCCTTCCTTACATTCAAAGCTGAATCTTCAGCCTCGCAAGCGTGTACCAGGCTCCCGCCTGCGTGTTCCAGGCTCCAGCTAAAACGACCTCAGCCACCCTCATCTACCGGCCAAACTGGATGCCGCATGTGGGTCCCTGCTCCGGAACCACACAACTGGGTACAGGGTACGGGTGTCCTGCACAAACGAACCAGACACTTTGCGTGATGCAACCCCATCCTACCCCCCAGGGTGCAACGACACACGATAACTTGTAAGCCAAAAACACTTTAAAGCTATCGGTTTCTGCAACTTCCAGGTCTGAAACTTCATGTGGGCCCATGGGGCCCACATATTATTCAGCAAGGCAATGTGCATCACGTGTCACAACAAGGCCGTATGTACGTGCAACACAAGGCTACCCAAATGGGTTCTACCGGACCCACACTCCCCTCAAACATCGGTGCACAAGGTGAGCCCCCTAGATCACATGATGGACGACGGGAAAAGCACACAGTGTACCTGCTAGAACTCGGGTATACCTCCGACACACACCACCCCAACAGGTGGACTACACAAATGTTCACTACACTGGATGTATACAATTGATATGAGTTGACTGGCCGAGTTAGTGGCAGGCCGTCTTGTGCTGCTTCCAGTCTGCCCGCTGGCACTCCTCACCACAGTACTGGACCTTCTTGCAGCGACCACAGCATTTCAAGGGTTTGTCCATGGTGCCCCCCTTCGAGGTCAGGTGCTTGAGCACGGCCTTCACTTTTCCATCTTTCCCACAACATGTTTGCTAAAACCCTAATTTCCAGATTCAGGTGGCTAGGCTCAGAGCAAGGGGGATGTTGTACGGCCATCTCCTTTTCTGACAGAGGAAACAGGATGGCAGAATCAATTTGACCTCCTCCACATAACGACTAAATGCAACCAACAGGCATCCCAACAGATGGCAGCATGTGATTGGCATGAGGCCCTGTATGCCATGTACCAGGCGCCTAATGTATCCAGCAATGATGCCCAGCTTGCATATCTGCTGCTGCATGATATTGGTGCACAGGATAAATCATTTGCTTGGCTTCTGTGGGACTCTTCATACTCAAGGCTTGTATACAAGGCCATCTGTGCTTTCTACCCAGACAGCAGGGGTACCCAGGGGGGCCCAGGACGCCCATGGATGGTTCGCTACAGTTTGTTTGAACCTCGAAAAGGTCCTGCCAGTCTATTTTCAACACTGTAGTCCACAATGATACATACACTCCCTGGGCCCCCCGCCTGGGCTGTCACCTAGGGACCATACACAACCATCCCCTGTCCAACCTGGAAGTCACACAGGTTTATAGTTACATGGACAAAAGAAATCAGTCCATGTATCGAGATACGGCCACCTAAATTTTCCAAGTGCACCTTATTGGCACATTTGGTAACCTACAGCAATCGGTAGCCTACAAGGTGCACTTGGAAAATCCAAATCTTGATCACCATTCGAATGAGCCTTCCCATGCGTGTCCCTTCCCGATCCCCATTGGGACCTGGTTGGCATATATCACACTCCCGCATGCTTAGGCAATCTATAAACTTAAGGTGGCAGTAACTATGTCAATTATGGAGGTGCAAGTCCCATTTTGCGTCCAAATATCGAACATTGCCAGCAGAACAATGAGTCTCAGTCCTTGTTCACTACTAGGTTCAAAGAGCACCCAGAAAACTATCAGGTCAGCTGAAGTGTGCAGTAAGCACAGATGTTTCTAATCTCAAGCTAAGGGCATGTAGTAGCTCGTCGGGTTCAGAGAAGGACATTGGACACTTTAAGGACACTCCTGTGGAAACTTTCCTTCAGGAGTCTGGCATAATTATTGTGGGTGCCACACCACCTCTCCAGGCTGCTGATTTGTGGGAACACCACTCGAACAAACTGGCCACTTCACACCAGCAGCTATCCGCAGAGGTTGGAGTGCTGAGGGCAGTGTTAAGTCTGTCTCGACTATCTTGAGGTGTAGCTTAGTTGACAACATGCATCGGAAGCTTCAGGAGCTGCCGGATGGCCTGGGCTTCTGCCACGAGGACAAGCTTTGGACCTTCTGCGGGGGCTGGGTGGGAAAGATGAACCACACACAATTGAAGCTGGCTATCCACATATACACCGGTGCCAGTAATAAGTAATGTCAGGTCAGGTGGGAGGCGGATTTGTGATATATGCAAGGGGGTAAGGAACACGGTACACATAAAAGCCAACCAGGTCCCACTGGGGATCGAGAAGGGACACGCATGGGAAGGCTCATTCAGATGGTGATCAAGATGGAGGGGAGCCCAGTTGGGTGGAGAATGACAGCGTGTTGGAACGGGGAACAGGAGGAGCAGGACGGGTTGTCAACACTGCCAGGCTCACATGAGCCTGGCCACATCACATAGTGTGGTCACAAACGCCTAACACTCCCCAAGCCACCATCCACCCCTCGAGCCACAAGCGCCCAATTGCAATCAGCTAATGCCACTCACAGAAACCGGCGTAAAATCTAACTATTTTGCCAAAACTTCCTCGGCTTCATGTGTACTCCCGCTTTACCACACCCGAAGGCAAAAGAAGAAGAGAGATTGGAGGCAATTTATTTTAGTTTGTGCTACACTATTTGCTTATCAGTAACAATTACCCTTGGGGTAGGGTAACATCCGAGTAACTTAGCCATAGGGGATTTTATTGCTATATCTAGCATGCTTTTAGCAAGATGAAGCCTGATAGGGATGGTCAGCGCCAGCGTTGGACTCACTTCCTTGACAAATTTGTACAACTCCTGCCACGGGGCCTTCTCCTCAGTGCTAAGGTCTGATAGGTAGCAGCTGTCAAATAATTCGCGGTTGATCAGCCGCAAGCGGTGAGCTGCCTCCGAGCCCTCCTGGAAAGGGGAGCCCGAACCCTTCCCTAGCAAAACCATGGAGCTCAAGGACAGGCCCTTGTTGCGAGCCCACTGAATTCCGCGCTCGCTTATGATTCGTTCAATGTAGTCCGTCCAAAGCTCATCCTCGTGGCGGAAGCCCAGGCCGTCCGGCAGCTCCTGAAGCTTCCGATGCACGTCGTCAACCAAGCTACACCTCAAGATAGCCGAGAAGGACTTAACGCCTGCCCTCAGCACTCCAACCTCTGCGGATAGCTGCTGTTGTGACTTGCGCAGCTGCTGTTGTGACTCGAACAGCTTCTGTTGTGACTTGAACAGCTGCTGTTGTGAAGTGGCCAATTTGTCAAAGCGCTGTTCCCACAAATCAGCAGCCTGGAGAGGTGGTGCGGCGTCCACGATAATTACGCCGGACTCCTGAAGGAAAGCTTCCACGGGAGTGTCCTTAAAGTGTCCAATGTCCTTCTCTGAACCCGACGAGCTACTCCGTGCCCTTAGCTTGAGATTGGAAACGTCTATGCTTAGTGCGCGCTTCAGCCGGGACCGGATAGTTTTCTGGGTGCTCTTTGTACCTAGTAATGAACAAGGACTGAGACTCATTGTCCCGCTGGCAACGTTCGATATTTGGACGCAAAATGGGACTTGCACCTCCGTAATTGACATAGTTACTGCCACCTTAAGATTATAGATTGCCTGAGTACGCGGGAGCCTTTTGTAATGGATGGATGGATGGATGGATGGCTGTCTTGCATGTTTCAAGCTTCAGCGAGCTCGTACGGCTCAGACGAACCCGGAGGCTCATGAACCGCTTTGACAGCGCCGTCGATAGAAAAAAAGATCAAAAGTAAACAGAAACAGTTTTACGCAAGAAGAAAACGAATGTTTATAAGGAAGAAGAGCGTCAAACTTGGCTCTAAAACACAATTGCCTGGTATCGCAGAGAAAGTTAGGTAGCTAGGTGTTCATGCCGTGATCGAAACATCTCAAAAATCGCCTTCGCAAGGCCACGCTGATCGTCCACTTGCATGATATCATGGATATCAGCATTGACGGGCACATCGAGGTCCCAAAGCTTCTGTCGCGCAGACACAATCGCCGGGAATTCTCCAAAAAAATGTTTCTCATCTTCAATAGCTCCATTGCTACGACACGCAGCGCACATGCGATGCTCCCTAGCCCTGTTGCTCTCACTGTCGGAGACACACAAACGAAAACGGAGTAGGGCACGATGATGCACCGGGGGGATATAACCCGCGTACGGCTTCGGCAGCCCCATCCAGTGCTTATGACGGCACATCTTCACGCCGGGCTTCCTACCGTCCATAGCGAAAACTCTAGGGTCCAAAGCCAGCCTGTCATTCGCCCAGTCGTCATTGACACGTGCCCTATGGGTGTCCATCAGCGCTTCGACATCAAGCTTGCAGGCCGAGTAACGTCTAACCCTCACATCAATGCTTCCCCCGACTGCTTCCTCACCCCAGTCATGCTCTAAGTGGTTAAGGATACGAGTGACTTTGGATCCCCAACCATCAAACTGCGAATTCGTTACCAACGCCAAACAAATTTCCTGACGGAAGGCGCTGTGGTACACGCTACTAGTGTCCTCCACCAAGCTATTCCAGAAGCGAAATACGGATTCAGCCCAGTGCAGCCGTAGCGGCATCTGCCCTAGCTCCAGAAACAAAAGCTGGAGGGATGGAACGGAAGTCCCTACCAGTTGTTTCTGAAAAAGATTTGGAGCTTGACCATTCGGTCTCGTACGGCCACATCGAAATATCATGAACGCGGTGCCTCGTTAGCCGGATAGCCCTTTTCCAACATCGCGAGAACCTGGTCAGGCCCCCACACCTGCGAGCCGTACGATAAGACAGAACGCACTTGCGCATTGAAACACTTCATGCAAACGCTAGTAGCAGCAGACCCTGCCGGCGCAGCTTGTTGTGCAGAGCAAACATAGCCCGTTGGCCAGCCGAGAACAGCTCATCCGTGCAAGACGCAAAACCCGCGTCTGGTCCGAAGTGCAGCCCCAGGTAGCGGGCGCATATTTTCCAGGTAACCGGTCGGAACATCGGTAGCCCCTCTTCAAGTACGCGCATGGTGACCAAGTTATATGCGCTGAGAGCATAGACCTGCCTTCTAACCTGACCATTGGGATGAAAAAACAACTCCTCGCACTTTTGCACGTTGACAGTGAGACCGAAAGCCTCTGACCACTCCCGCAGTGCCCGTAGTAAGCTCATCAACCGTCTCAGTGACATCGTGAATAGGCTCAGGTCATCAGTGTAGAGGGGTAGGGGCACTCGACGACCTTCAACGCTAGGGGTGTCAGGAGAAGCCATGGCATCAGGAAGCACAACGTCTAGAGCATCAATGTAATCTGCAAAACCTTCAAACAAAAAACCGAAGAGCGTGGGGCTCATTGGGCAACCCTGCTTGACCCCTTGGGTGGAGGGAAACGCCTCTCCTTTTGCTCCGTGAACCTGGACTCGCATTTCCACCCGATCGTAGCAGCACTTGATGACATCTAACGCCGACCCCGTGACTCCTCGTTACTCAAGTCTAACCCAGAGCAGCTCTTGATTAACCCGGTCAAACGCTTTCTCAAAATCAAGTTGGGTGTTCGAGTTATCATACGCTGTAATCTCAGAATTGAATTATGAGATACATGGCACCTTTTAAGATTAAGATTAGCCCGAGAGGCGTTGATGTGACTTTGAGCTCGGTCAATGGAGGCAGCCAAACTTGCTTGTGCTTATACGATTTTTATTGGCTACAGGCGAGATACCTTGCGATAGAGAATGCCATATAGTACCAATAACGCGTTTCAGCCGGGCGAGATATTCTGTTTTGTCCGTTACACACGGCCACAGGGACATGGGCGATCCTACAGAGCGGGCCCCCCTGGGCGCTTCACGCTGGGGCCCCGCCCCAAAACCAACCATTTCTTTGGAAAGCAATGTCGGCACGACCACCATCACGCCTACCCTCATTTACGGCCCGTCGGCAAGCGAGTGATGGCCGCCCTGCAGTGTCAGGACCCAAAACATGTGCCATGCCTCCTTCTCGTGCTCCACTGCCACAGCGCACCGGGCAGCCATCACAGCGGCAGCAGCAGCAACAACAACAGTTTCATCCGATAGTGGAAAGAATGGACGCGAATGCGTCCCACCCCACTCCCCTGCCTAGCGGTCCTCGTCTACATGTGAGGGTCTGTGAGGATGGATGGATGGATGGAGGACAAACGAATAGGCGGGAGTGGTCTGCGGCGCGACCACCAGCTTGATCTCACCCCAGAGAGCCAACCATATACTGACAAATGAGCGGACAGTTGTTGCCCAAATACAATGTGACCGTCTGGCACAGGGGGGTGCACTTGATAAGCATACACAGGTATTTGCGGGAGAATATACCCTGTACATTC